AAGCCTCTCCCTGTGGGCCGAGAGGCTGATGGTGTGTAGATTATCGTGGACACCCTGTCGAGGAAGAATCGATGCGATTAGGGGGGAAAATAATGTTGGCGAAGAGCCCAGATATACAAGCTATTGGCCCCGCCAGCAGAGATTTGTTAATGATTAGTACAGAGTCGCTACTTGGTGAGTGTTCATCCTGATAGCCACAACCAGACGTGGTTCACGCGAAACCTTGCCGCTCGTTGGCGCGAGTACCCTATAAATTTGCTGTTATGATCCCCCATCTCACACCATGGGTTCCTTAGGGGTAGATCCTCCCTCTCCATTCTCCTTTTTTTTAATTAGTTCTGCCATCTTTCCCGCGTTTCCGCCGGACCTACGGGTATTTAGAAATTTAAGGATATAGGACTATACCAGCTGGTAATTCCAACTAAAATTAGAAATGTGGGATGTATAATCTCGACTCTAAATACTTTAATTTTTTGTTTGACAGATTTGCGGATTCGCGACCATTTATCTTATGGATAGGAGTTTTTTTTCTCTTTGCCCGCGAAAGACGCTGTGGTTCGTTTCTTGTGTTGTTCAGCTCCATCCCGGGGGGGGGTTCTCTGGATCCTTCTTTCGGATGGGGAGACGCCACAACAGCGCGAGTCACCCCACAAGTGTTAAATCAAATTTTATTGTTAATTTTCAGTTTTCAATTTCGGCGCTCAACGGCGGGGAAATTAACACTTATCGGCCCACTCTCCCCCACAGGATTTCCACGGGGAGTCCCAATTTGACAGACCTTAAGGGTTTTTTTTAATTTTCCCACCACTCCCCCCCCCCCCCCCCCCCACCCACATTCATCACCGAGGAGAAGAGCAAAGGACAACCCGCATTGAAAATGCGGTGCTAGCATCGCCTGCTCTCGTTGTAGGCGAAGCAAAGATCAAGGGTGTCAATGCGGGTATCGATAATACATGTCAGACTTGTGAATCTTCGGGGAGAGAATGTTCCTATCCTATTCCTGCTCCGGGAGGAGGTACAGGTGGCACGAAACGTGACATTGCGGCCTCCGGGGATGGGGATGATCGGAATGGCGAGTGGGACAGCCCCAAGCGTCAGCGTTCAAGGAAATCCACGAATGCTACGACCTCAGGCGCAAAAGATGCCATTAAACCAACCAGCAATGTCCTCGACTCGCCCATCTTGACCGTGAAAGTATGGGAGACCTTGTTCGAATTCTTTCAGCTTCACTTCTCCACTCTCCTACCGTTCTTGCACCCCACGGCCTTCCTCACCCAGATCCGTCAGCTCTCCTCGAGCTCAGCACAGCAGGATGGTCAACCATCCGGTGACCACTCGCAGAGCCCAGGTCCAGCTTCAGAGACTTCTCCATTGGTATTGCTGGGCGTCCTGACCCTGACTGCTCGGTTCCACCCACAGCTGACTAGCTACCACTGTCCGCCATCACCTGTTGCCCCATGCAACCCTCTTGTAGCCTCTGAATTTTACGCGAACGCACTGCGATCTAGACTCTCGGGAACCTATGGAGCGGATCTTACCTCCACCGACATCAGTCGGGTTCAGGCGCTCCTAATGCTAAGCTTACACGAATGGGGGATGTGTAGGGGTAAAAATGCTTGGGTTTACCTTGGGATGGCAATCAGACTGGCTCAGGCGGCGGACTTGTCATTTGAACAGGAGAATGATCAGCCCCAACAGAGGACGCCTCTGCCGGGAATGCTGAATGCGGAAGTAGAACCACACGATCAGAGAGGACATACTTCGGACGATGTGATTGAACAGGAGACTAGACGTCGGACCTTCTGGAGTTGTTTTATGCTGGATCGATACCTCAGTAGTGGCAAGTATCGTCCACGAGTGATCAAGATTCGGGATGTAGAGATCCAGCTTCCAAGCGACAACGCGTTTGCTTTCGGAGAGAGAGTCAGAACCTCACGTTTGAACGACGGCTTAAAACACCGTTTTCAAATTATGAGTCTCGCGGCATTCAGATTCCCAGTCTACGAAATAGTATGGGCCTACGGGGAAAACGCAAAATTACGCCCAAACCGGACCGTCAGATCTAAAACAATGGTCATCGACTAGCCACCGCGGCGAGATAACGGAAAACAGTATTGATCGATGGGAGATGGGCGCGGAGGAGTGTGTTTTGGGGAGACTGGTTCGGATGGTCAGGATATGGGGCAGAATTGCAAAGTGGTCGTGTTCTGGAAACAGAAGGTTTGTCAATGCAATAATGGATTTTTTTTTTTTTTTTTTTTTTTTTTATGACGTCTAGCAGACGGAACTGTGTCTAATTAATCTTGTTTTTTCTTTGCTTTTGTTTTCTATACAGGCTTGATCAACACCCTCCGTGGCATCCCGATTCCCGCTTCAGCCCCCTTCGGCAACTTTTAGTCGAGTTCCATGACGGTCTGTCCCGCAATCTACAGTACACGCAACGCAATACCGATACCCATATTATGTACAAGAACAGTTTGGCACCCTACTCACTTATCCACATTCTCTACTTCCTATCCGTAATCATACTGCATAGAGCTTACCTGCCATTCCTGCCATTACGGTACCCTGATCCGCAGGGGCCTCTTGACGAGCCCTGTTATCCCTTTGATAAATACCTTGCACCCGAGGCGTTCTGGCGCGAAAGTGCTCGGGAATTGTTCAATGCAGCACGCCAGATGACGGAATTGGTCAAAACATGTCAGGAACGGGGTGTATTAATGGAAACTCCTGTGGTCGGCTTTGCCATCTACAATGCTGCGCTGGTTGGTGTTTACGCTGCCCACTTTAATCAGATGGACCAAGAGGGTTACCTTTGTTCGAAACCGGGCTCGACAGATGTTGTTCCAGGGTTGGGATGCCAAGGACAAGTTGACGTACGAAGAATCATTGAGATTTTAGGGGAGATGAGGCCGCGGCTGAAAATGGCTGGTGGTTGGTTCCGTACTATTCATCGCGTACATGGCTATTTTACCAGGGCCAGACGGGATCTCAAGCGAAATCCCCGGCAGCCGGACACTCTAAATACCGGAACCGGTTCTGAAAACGATATTCGAACTAGTAACGGACGGGCTTACGGTGTCCGAGAACTAGGGCATACAGGATCATCTGACGAACTGAAGCTCTTGGACAAACTCTTTCTAGACCTTGGTAACGCAGAAGATCAGGTAGCAGAAAACAATGGACCAGATGAAGATAGCACAACAGGTTCGGCGAATTTAGTGGAACGAAAGCCCAGCGACGTTGGCAGTACTGCCGTGAAAAGCGAATCAGCGGATGGTTTGGATTCTCATGCTGATGGAGTGTCTAGTACGCGCAGAGAATCATGGGTACCCGTCAAATAGTGTCAACAGCCCAGTCCACGGACCCCTGCCGTCATCCGCACCAGAGCATGACAACCCCATATCCCGGCCCAGACCCTTGGAGAATGACCGCTGGCCCAATCTCGCCCCTCCGCAGCCACAGTGCTATCCTCTCCCCTCTTTACAGCTACCGCACAGCCTCCCTTCGTCAACCGCATCAAACAATCCGCCGCCATCACTAACATCTCCTGGGTCCTACGCCTCCTCCACCCACAGTTCAACTGCACCATCCACCAGCTCCCAACAACTCTCCGCAGCCTTAAACCGCCTCCAACCCATCCAGCCATGGAACACATTCCGCAAACCGCCTCCAGCGCCTTACTCACAATCTCTCCCTTCTCTCTCTGCTGCCACACCACATAGCTTCCCCATGCCACCTCTGCCAGGCACGCAACAGCTCCATCTTAACCCACCCAGGTTTGATGCTCCACCGCGGCCATATTCTGCCGGAAGCGCTAATGCCCCTAGCGGGAGTAGCAGTCCTGGTTGGATGAGCTGCCTTGGAGGCGACGATGTAATCTTTTTCATTGAAGGCGCCAGTCAAGACCAATGGCCTTCCTCGACAGCCAGCTTACGAGGCCTTACAAATGGGTGGTTGAGTACTGTTTGGTGCGAAAGTGGGCAGTAAATAAATAGATCTCCATCTCTTTCTCAATTTTTACTTTTTTTATTACTTTTTTTTTTTTTTTTTCGGTATATTCGTTGTCTTCAGCGACCTGGACTTCTTGACTTCGGCGCCCCTATATTTTTTGGTCCTTGTTTTTTTTTTTTTCCCCTTTCCGGATGGGTGAGCGTTGTTCATATGGCTATTTATTTATATATATTTTTTTGTTTGTTTTATTAACTTTTCCTTGGTGTTCGCTTTTTTAGCACGACAGCACTCGGGGTCATATTTTTCCCCCTCTTTTCTTTTTTACAAGGAAATGAAGAAAGGGATACGGTAACGGGGGGAGGGGAGGGTTTCTTGTTTCTTGCAATTCATTCGCCCCTGTTGTTCTTGTTTTAAACAATGATTTTTGTTTTTTCTTTTCCTTTTTCCTTTTCTGTTTCAAACCTCTATTTTTCTCTTCGTGCAACTCCTGTTGTATTATTAAAACATTATTTTTCATCTTTGTGCTGTTTAACTTTCTTTACTATTTATGATTGATTGTGCATCATTTGTCATTTGGGGTTTTTTTCTCTTTTTTACGTCCCCGCAGTGTTTCTCACTTCTCATTTCTATTTC